TATATATAAAATAAACAAGCCAATCCAGTTGCCATTGAGTTGATTCTGCCTCATGACGACTCCGTGTGTATCAGAGTAGAATTGTGCTCCATATGGTTTCCAATGGCTGATTTTTTTGGAAGCAGATTGTCAGTCCCTTCTTGCAAGGGTCCCTTCAGTTAGCAGCCCAGGGCATTAACCATTCGCACCACCCAGGGATTCCCAGTAGTCTCAGCCAGCCATGCACAATTTCAGTGCCCATGCTTGTCCACACTTCTCTTGCCAATTTGCTGTGTGGTTTCAAGCTACATCCCTGCTCTGGACTTCGTTTCCTCTTAAGACCATGAGGGGTTTAACCTGGCAGATCCCTAAGGATGTTAGGAACTTGTCTTCCTCAAATGTGAAATTGGCCCTGCTGCCCTCTGCCCACCCTGGTGGAATGCATGGCTCTGGGTACCCTACCTGCCTGCTGTAAAGCAGGATCCATTGGCAGCACCGATGGTTGAAAAAGCCACAAAGAGTGGAACGACCCAAGAGGCTGGGTAGAGAACGCGGTCCCCAAATGTCTGGTGAGAGAAGTGAGATGAATCCTGAGGGTCTGTCATAGGCCCCCAAAAGCCATTAGTCCCATGTTGGGGACAGCTTCTGTGACTCCATTAGTGGAGAAGAGAGAGGAGAGAACCACTCAGGAAGGAAATGATTTCACCTTTTTTCCCATCTTCAGAGTATCTCAGGATATCTTGAGGGTAACAGAAATCTCTTATCCACTACTCCCTGTCATAATTGTTAGTCATTTCAAAATCATTCTGATAAGCTGATCTCTCACTTGACCACCTCACTTGGAATAGCCCTGTTCTTCCTTCCACCTTAGCCACCCATTCTCATGATCAACCTCATTGTTAACCAAAACTGTGTATCCTCCAGGCTTCCATCCCAATCCCCTCATTCTCTTTTCCAAACCTGATGTACCCCAACTCCATGAGGCCTCCAGTACATGAACCCTACCACCTTTTCCACTATCCCTCACACCCCTCCCTCTTCTCTTCTCATCCTGCCATCTTTAGCTTAAATTCCACAATCCATTATTATAAACACCTCCTTCAGTCCCCTTGCTCTTTCTTTCTCTCCTTCATACTGGTCTGTCAAAACCCTAAAAAACCGAACTCACTGCCGTCAAGTTGATTCCAACTCATAGCAACCCTCTTTGGGTTTCCAAGGCAATAAATCTTCACAGAAGTAGATAGTCCAGTCTTCCTTCCATAGAGTGGCTGGTGGATTTGAACTGCCAACCTTCTGGTTAGCAGTTAAATGTCTGAGGCACTATGTTGTTGTTGTTGTTATATGCCATCGAGTCGGACCCGACTCATAGCGACACCTCATTGGGTTTTCCGAGGCAGTATCACTACGGAAGTAGATTGCTCCATCTTCCTTCCAAGGAGTAGCTGGTGGGTTTGAACCACCAGACTTCTGGTTAGCAGTCAAGTGCTTTAGGCACTATGCTACCAGAGCGCCTCTTAAAACCCTTTGTTGTTGTTGTTGTTGTTATGTGCCGTTGAGTCGGACCTGACTCATAGCGACCCCTCCTTGGGTTTCCGAGGCAGTATCACTACGGAAGTAGATTGCTCCATCTTCCTTCCGAGAAGTGGCTGGTAGGTTTGAACTGCCAGCCTTCTGGTTAGCAGTCAAGTGCCTTAGGCACTATGCTACCAGACCTTAAAACCCTAACCCTGGTTAAATCCATCTCTGCTCTCCACTTCCACCTGCTAGTGGTCTCACATATATTCCTGGCTCTAGCCTATGGAGATCTATGGGGTTGTCCTCATCTGCCCACTCAAGCTCCTGGAATTTTATTTCCCACCTCCCCTCTCTTTAAAACTTCCTTCTCTCCTGTGAGATATTTCTCCTGGCCTGCCCCCTCCCCGCTGTCCCCAAGGAATCCTGGCACCTTCCAGATCCCTGTGTTCTTACCACAGCCACAGCCTGGGACTGCAGGAGTTCAGTTGTGGTCATCACGGTGAAGTAGGAAATGTTCATGAGGATGTAGCACACTGTCACCAGCGGGATCCCAATGATAATGGATAGGGGCAGGTTCCTGGGAGGGGCAGTGACATGGGAGCCGAGGGTCACACAGAACATTTGGGAGTGACTCATGAGATTGTGGTTTTCATCCAGTCTTTCCCTCCCACCCACTCTGGTCAGCTCTCTGCCTACTTCCTGTGGTGGATGGCCTGGGGTCCCAGGTGCCCTTTGTGAGTCCCTACCCTCCCAGGCATAGTGGCTAAGGCACTTGACTGCTAACCAGAAGGCTGGCGGTTCAAACCCACCAGCCA